CTCTCTCTCTTTTATTACGTGACAATATTGCGAAAACTTTTTGCGGGCAATAATGCGCCTTAAGATCCGTGCCAGATGTCACCGGCATGGATAGCGGGTCATATACGAGACCGAAATCTCAAATATTAGCGCGAAATCGTAGATGGGAGAGCGCACATCTTACGCGGCAATATCGCGTCGCTGATCGCCCGATATCATTTCTTCTTACGCTCGCTCTTTCATCTCGTGGATATTTGGCGACATGTGCGCGAAACGGCTTATAAAACTTCTCGCAAACGTCGTTCCAGGCGCGTTTTTTTTTTTCGCGGTCGCTTCGAAACGCTACATTTAATGCAATATTTGAAGGATGTAGAGATCTGATTCGAGATATCTGTGATTTAAAAATTTTAAAAGATATTTGTAAAGTAACTGACAACGCGTTAATCAAATGACTTAGATATAAACTGTGCAAAGCTTTTTAAGCAAAAAGCATACTCTCACATACAATTATGGTTCGAAAAAGAAAATTTTTTATTTTTTAAAATTTTAAAATAAAAAGAAAAATTTTAAGCATTTTTAAACGCTCAATATTATTACACAATTATTTTGTACGATATTAGTGATGCACCTTTTAAACAATTGAAAGAGAACAATTTCAAGGCTTAATCTAGACAGTCAATAATAACCCACCCAAATAGCACATAATGTAAAAATATAATTATGACATAAGATTTTAAATTGACTTTTAGACGCAAAAAACATCTTATGATGCGATTTTAGACACTTTTTGTTGTCTGGGAATATCAAATACTGTTCAATATAATACTACTCGTATAGAAGCCATTTTACTCCAAATAATATAAATATGATTCAAAACTATTAACATAAAAATTCAAAATACGCGCGATATTATTTAAAATATACTTATATATTTCCAAATAAATATATTGATTATACTGCTTCTAAATATGTCTATTCTTGAATTACCTGCTCATTGCTGTGCCATTACCATACATATGCGAAAAATGGATGACTTCTCAAGATACTTGTGCTGCCATCTCGTATCAATATCTCGTATACTAATTCGTTAAAAGTTATACAATCGCAAAAAAATCTTTATAAATTTCTTGAACATATCGCGTTGGCTTCATTAATATTACAATTAAAATTATTGAATAGAATTAATTATATCATGCTTATCATCTTTTATTTTTTATCATTTATGTTATATTCTTCTATGGTTAGACTGACATACCTGTTATCGATATGATATTCCATGATGATCACCATGATCGAATTCAGAGAATTAGTTATCGACGGATGATCATCTATTCTATATTATCCATCGCAACTCATTGATGCAAATCGTCCCATTTGGTCACTCCAAATCAAAATATATTAAGAATTGATATGCAATTGTTGCATCAAAATGGCCTATAAACAAAAATAAAAAAAATGGCAATGTGGACTTAATACACCTTTTTAATATGTAATAAAATAAATAGAAAATTTACAGTGATCTTAATGTATTTATCTTTTGTTTTACACAAATTTTGTATATACATTCGAATTCAATTTTTTAAGATAATTACGGAAGATTAATATAGCCAATTTTCTCACAATATATTGTGGCTTTTTCTTTCAATCCGATAAAATAAAAAAAGAATGACACTTTCTGATGGTACGTATAACGAAATTACAATCTCGGAACGGTCAGCGTATATCCTACTTTTAAGCAGCTCTATCACATTGTCAATTCCTGAAATAAGAAATAAACAAATAAATTATAAATTCATTATGTTTATCCAGTACAGTTTATTAACAGAAAAGGAGTCAGTCTGCCAAGATATATTCAACACAATTTTTATTCTGATAAAAATGTATAAGCAAAACCTTTGAAACGATCATCATATGGTTAAAAATATTTAAACGTAATAAAGTACATATATATTCAAAACTTACCATAATAGCATTGACGATGTCATTTTGATTATTCTTAAGAGCTTTAATAGCTTTCCCTCGTGATACATTAGCTTGACACATAACCAGATCAACATCTTTTTCTTCCACGCCTGTTTCATCTACCTCTTCTTCTGATTCTTCTTGTATAGGAGCTACAACCTAATATAAAAAAAAAGTTATATTAAATACTGTTACACATTAATATTGCATTTTAAATTTATATATATATATATATATAGATCTATAATTATAAAAT